ACATACAGGTTGGAGTCTTTCACAGTTTGGGATTCCCCCATTCTTGCTAATCATCCTTAGCAATCATTTTCTTCACTGTGTGCTGCCTCTACAGGGAGTAAACAGGGATTCTGTTCCAGCACTCCTGTGAGGCCAACCCCCTCACTCCCTCCCTTTGCATTTTGTCCTTTTTGTACTTTACCAAATATATAGAATCCAATTGCCCTTTTTACCCAATCTTTTAAAAATATTATTAAATTTATTGAGGTGACATTGGTTAATAGGGTCATATAGGTTTTAAGTGTATATTTCTATGATACATGACCTATATATTGCATTATGTGCGTGGCCACCACCCAAAGTCAAATCATCTTAAAATTGCTCTTTATCTTTACCCCTTCTTTCATTTGCCCCTGTCTCTGGAGAGAGAAACTAAGTTCCAGGACAGCAGAAACCACATCTGGTTTTGGTTAGCACAATATCCCCAGAACCTAGCACACTCCTGATACACAGTAGTTGCCAATAATGTCTTTTAAATGGATGGATAAATGAATGAATGAATGAATGAATGAATGAATGAATGAATATGTAGAAGGATACTACTTACAAGTAGTAAACCCAAATGTTATACCTTTTCTTTGATGACTCTCTGGGATTTATAAGAAGCATGCTAGTAAAGTAGCATTTAGCTAGGAACAGTGCTAAGTATTTTGACTATCTCTAGGGTCAATGCTAATGTGCTTCTCAAACATCTTGGAGAGTATAATTCTCATCATATATATATACAAGAAATGCCCAGAGTCTAACTCTAATGTTTTGAGTTTTTGACGGCGAATCTTTCTGTGGCAGAGTCTCCATGGATTTCTTCTGTTTCCCTCCAATGCACCTCACTTGGAGGGTCCTGGAATAACCTGCCCATCTCTTCCTGCTTCCACCTCAAACAAACCCTGAGGGTTATGGGGGCACAGGGCCCGAAGAATAGAACCTTTGGCCAGTGGCTGGACCTATGTCCAAAATACCACGCAGCAGAGGTGGGAAAATGGAGATCCAGCACAGGTGGTTACAGCAAAGAAGAGGGAGCTCAGAGGGACAGGCTAAGGAACCTGGGGCGGGGGGTGGGGGGGAGAGGAAGGAGTGCTTAGGTTTTGGAAATGTGGCAAGATATACCACATACATGCAGTCTAGAAGGCATCCCAAAACAAATCCAGTGACACAGTTACCTCCCAGACTGTACCTGACAATGATGACAGAGAAAAGAGAGGTGGCAGGCCACATAGAATAGAATCACCTCAATTAGGGAGGAGAGGTGCAACTTCTTGAAAGAGAAAGCAAAGACAGTAGGCGCTTTAGCATGGATTTAAGAGCCCATAGAGCAAAACACCTGCTTTCTCTGCTAACCAGAATCCTTCCTGGCTTGGTCAGTTTTGAGTTTCTTTTTTTATCTTTTGTCATTGATTTTTAGAGAAGGAGGGAGAGAAGGAAGGAGGGGGGAGAGAGAAAACATTGATTTGTTGTTCCACTTTCATACATTCCTTAGTTGATTCTTGTTATGTGCGCTGACTGGGGATGTAACCTGCAACCTTGGGATATTGGGACAACGCTCTAACCAGTTGAGCTACCCAGGCAGAGCAGTGTTGAGTTTCAGGCTAGCTTCAGGACACCTCCTCAACAGGTGACCTCAACATAGTCTGTGCAGTTCCTTGGACTCTGCCCTGGGCTCTGGTGACATGTCTAGCTTTGCCCTTCCCCCAGGGCATCTTGTTTTCTCAGTGCTTCCTCTGACCACCTATCCAACTATGTAACTCGCATCCTTATGCTTGGCTTCTCATGGGTGAGGGGTTTGGTGGAGAGGAGAAGAGTGGTTCAGGCCTGAATGTTCTGAGCACCTACAGAAAAATGAGCTGGAGTGTATGGTTGGAAATGGGAACCCAGAGATTTTAACGTTTCTAGAACTTGAAAAATTTCAGGGGGCCATCCTTGATCTTTCTTCTCTTTCCACCTGCTCTCATTGAACAATGTTGTCCTCATTTATTGATGGGTTAAGTGGCCACTTACAAGCTGGCAGCTGCCTGTGTGTCCCGCTAACGCAGTCTTACCACACTATATATAGTAACGGCCCATGTCCAGTCTTTGCCACCAGAGTCTAAGATTCCTCAGAGCAGGTCTGTCTTCACTCATCAGTGAGTTTTCATCCAGCACTTTCAAGAGTACTACTTACATTTGCTGAATGACTCTAAATAACAGAAGAAAGATGGTATGATTACGGTACTGCCATATGACAGAACATTAACAGCTTTAAAAAATCTTGTTTCTAAAAAATAGTGACATAAGGCCCCGACTGGTGTGGCTCAGTTGGTTGGACATCATCTTGTGCTGCGAAGGGTCCCTGGTTTGACTCCTGGTTAGGGCACATGCCTGGCTTTCGGGTTGGGTCCCAGATGGGATGTGTGCAAGAGGCAACTTGGCCACATTTCTCTCCTTCTCCTTCCCTTCCCCTCTTTCTAAAAAATAAATTAATTAAATTTAAAAAATAATGACATGAGAAAGGGCTAATGAAATACTAGGGAAGAGAGGAGAGCCACAATACTGTACCCGTAATATGATCTCAACTTTGCAAAAACATACACGTGTATGACCAAAAAAGATAAGAAAACATCACTGGTTTAGCAGTAATTTTCTCTGGTGATAGGATTTGGCTGCTTTTGTGTTTCTTTTTTAGACTTTCCTGTACTTCCAATATTTCCAGTGAGGATGTATTGTTTTATTATTGTTTAAATATAAACATTAATACAGTGGGTTATATTTGATTCTTTAAATACACCCCTTCATTATCCTCCTTCTATCTACTGTCGAGAGTTAACACCAATATTGATACAAATTTCTATTAATACCCAGTGGCCAGGGATAACAGATTTTCCGACATATATTTTCAGTTCACATGTTACAGCTGCACACAATAAACAAACCTGGGACATGATTAATTACCACAGACCAGCAGTGTGACTATGTTTAGTGTATATATATATATATCTATATATATATATATATATATATATATATGGAAGTCTACCTTATCCCCATCAACTTAGCCACTTCAGTGAATTTGTGCTCCGTTTTATAAAAAATAAAGCATATGGGATAAGAAATGAATTAAAGACAATTTTGATTTTTTTTAAAGTGGTCAGTAGAAATCTTTTTTTTAAAAAGATCTTTAAATAGTGTATGTCACCCGGCTGGTGTGGCTCAGTAGACTGAGCACCAGCCTGTGAACAGAAGGGTCGCTAGTTCGATTCCGAGTCAGGGCTCATGCCTGGGTTGTCGGCCAGGTCCCCAACTGGGGGTGTGTGAGAGGCAACCGACTGATGTTTCACATATCAGTGTTTCTCTCCCTCTTTCTCCCTCCCTTCCCCTCTCTAAAAAAATAATTTAAAAAAAGTGTATCATATATTCACATATAAGTACACATCTATATCACACCCTGTTATTAAAATAAAATGACGGGTATGAACTACAGGTATGGATGGAGAAAATTATTCGGACTAATTTCTCTGTGGGTGAGGTTAGTTTTTGCCACTTCATTCTTCTCCCCAGGAATCCCCTTTCATCTGATAGTATGTCTCACAAGGTACAAATTTCAGGCTACTTTCTGTGGTCCCTATACCATTAACCCTTTAGAGAACTGAATTTCTACCTAATAAGAGGTGGGTGTTAAAGCTTTGGTTGTGTTCCTTTGTAACTTTTCTCTTTAGTCTATTCACCCGAATACACATTTACACTCTTTTCTCGTTTCATCCTGGCACTGAAATCATTGAGTGTACTATATGCTAGTATGTGCATGCCTGCTGTTCAGGCAGGGTAAGGTGTTTCATAAGTCACTGAACAGGGCCCAGAGATTCAGGTAATCTGTTGTTTACAAAGCTGAATAAAAGGCATTTCTAGAAAATTCTGAAGATAATACAATTGCTCTAAAATAATTTATATGCAGTACATCTTCCATCTTGAGATTAGTATTCCCCCAGTGAGGACCCATGATATGTAAAAAATCAGCTACATAAACTACAGAAGCTAACACAAGCCAGCGAAAGAGAACAGAGTTCTCTATGACAGGGACATGAGGCGTTCTCCCTCTAGAGCAGCTGGGCTTCAGGAAGAATGAAAACAGCAACCCAAAACACCCAGGGCTCTCTGCAGCTCCCTTCTTGGCCTCTCTTCCTGCAGACAGCATTCTCTTTCTCTCAGACCTTTAGAGCAGTGTGGCTGCCTCACTGCTCATGGGTTCACCTGTTAGTTTCACCTCCTCTAAGCGACTAACTTGCTTTTCTTACCCCAATTCTAAAAATCTATGAAGAGAACCAGATTGGCCCAGCTCAGGTCAGCCATCTCTTCTGAGTCCACTCAAATGGTGACAAAGGTAGAGTCAGATAGTCGTGGCTTCTGGAAGCCTACACCATGAACTGCGGACAGGTCTCAGAGAAGCAAGAACCATTATGAGCTAAGAGACACTCCAAATTAATAGCCTCATAAGTACATCAGAATAAGACCAGGGCCAGAGCACATCTAGAGCAGCAGGTCCTGAATGGGGGCAGAAGAGGCGGAGAAGTCAACGACTCTGAGCCTGAAGAAAGTTTTCACCGTATCTTCCTTATGACATATTTCCAAGGACAGTATTATAACTTTCACGAATATTCAAGGGGCCTATAAGCTTACCCCCTTTAATCCAGCACACACACACATAGACAATTAAGTAACATTTCTTAATAATAAACACATGCCATCCTATTAACATAAACCTAACAATCTAAATCACTTAGGTATTCGTACAGTTTGAGAGGAATGTCTGATTTGATAAAATATGATTGTTAATGAAACACTGAGAAATACTGAATCTAAACTTTTAGAGGCTGAGCAGTCCTGAGTCCAGCCTTACGTACACTGAAGTTCATTAACACTCTCATTCAAACATGATTAAATTTTTTTAAAAGACTGACACAGAAAAGTTTTTTTAAATTTATTTTTACACATTAGGAACAATATTTTGTTGCATAGAGATTGGTTTATTTATTAATTTTAGATTTATTTCTTGATTTTGTTACATATAAAATTATATAAAGAGAAAAATGAGAAAAGGAGTACTAGAACTTGAGAATAACATGAAAGTTTATAGGAAGAGCTAGTATCATATATAATTTTTTGACCACTTTCTTTTACCTGGACCCTAGTAGAGCATTGCATTCCCTTAATGGTTTTAAATTTCATAAAGAATGACAATTTTTATGTCTATTAATTTAAGTTATATACATCACATTTCTCTTTTGCTTTTTAAAAGTTTTTTTTTAAGATATCATTTATTTATTTTTAGAGAGAGGGAAAGGGAGGGAGAAAAGACAGAGAGAAACATCAATGTATGAGAGAAAATTTGACTGGTTGCCTCTCGCACATGCCACAGCTGGGGACCAAGCCCACCACCTAGACATGTGCCCTGACCAGGAATCGAACCGGCAACCCTTTCCTTTGTGGTACAGCACCCAACCAACTGAGCCACACTGGTCAGGGCTCTCTTTTATTTTTTAATTATAGAAGTAATATCTACTGATTGCAAAAAATTCTTACTATTTGTAAGATATACAGGTATAATCTTTCACCCCCAATTACACTCTCCTTTCCAAAGGTAGCAACTTTAACCTTTTAGTATGTTTTTTTTCTTAAGAAGTTATACACATTTCCGTGATACCCTATGTGAACAATTTTTTTCAAAGGTCATCCATTATATTTTCATGACTTGGTATAGTTTTCATTTGCTCAAAAGCTCAAAAACGTGATGTTATTTGCTTTTATTTATATCTCATTTAGTTTTCTGTAAGTAGATATAACTTTTCAAAAAGGCAGTCAATTCCCCAACTTTTATGTTGTTCTTCAAACACATCTACCTGCTCAAGACATTGACTATTGCATACGGAACCTGAAACAAGAAGAAAGGGCAACAAGTTAAAACTTTATGAAGAAAGCAAATCAGGGGTTCTTCTTAAAACATACCAAATGACTTTAAAAACTGTGTAGTGGAGATTTTTCTCTTCTTTTAATGAAAATGGGAAAATACTGAGGCAAATATTCTGAATTATCATCATTTGTAACTCCTAAGAGCCAAAGTAAACATACCATCTCTCTAGAAGAATTAAAATGGCTTTAACAGAAGCATGCCACTTAACTAAATACGCAAATTACAGAGATCTGTCTCTTTTCTTTTTTTCTTTTTAAATCCTCACTCACGGACATTTTCTCCTTGCTTTTTTAGAGACAGAGGAAGGGGGAGAGGGAGAGGGAGAGAAGAGGGGGGTAGGGAGAGGGGGGGAGAGGAGGAGAAAGGGGGGGAGAGAGAGAGAGAGAGGGAGGGAGAGAGAGAGAGAGAAATGTCAATATGAGAGACAGACATCTATTGGTTGCCTTCTTGTACACAACCCATCTAGGGATTGAACACACAAGCTGGGAATATGCCCTGACAGGAATCGGACCTGCCACCTTTCAGTCCATGGGACAACACTCCAGCCAGCTGAGCCACACCAGCCAGGGCAAGATCTGTCTCTTTTCTAGGATAAAATAGTCTTCAATAAAGTGGTTTCTGACCTTTAAGTTTTATACCTTAGATAGTAATAGTTTGATAAAAGCTCAAAACAGTTGACTGTTGACTTTATTTTAAAACTTACAGCACACATCCATAACTTACCAAACAATCTTTTAATTTCAGCATCTGAAACATAAAATGGTGGGCCTAGGTAAAAGAGAAACATGGTTAGATCTAATTCTAAAGAGAAACAAATTCTCGTGGCCCACTTCTCAGCTTATTTCTAGGGACCTACGTATACTTATTCTACATACAACTTGATTAGCCAAATGGGAGGGGATGTGACCGGTTCTTCTGCTTCTTCTTTCCTACCATCTCAGACCACAGACTGGCTTACTGAGGGGAAAGCTGTGGTAGGTGCCTGTCTCCAGCAGAGATGAGATGGCTGAGCAGCCATGGGATCTGAGAACACTGAAATCGGGATGGAGTGCATTAACGAATTCCCTTGGGGTTTTCTTCCTCTTTTGGGGTACTGATTTTCTACTGCTCCTGCGCACACCTACATTCTATGCACACTCCCACTTTGCTGAGGGCCACTAACTTTAAAGGAAACTTAACTTCTGACCCTTTCTAGAGCCCTCTCTTCTGGGCCCCACCCCCAGACAGAGCTTGCTGTATTCCGGGCCCCACCCCCAGACAGAGCTTGCTGTATTCCCTTCCCACAGGCCAGCTGTTCAGGAATGAAACTGAAATCAGACTAGGAGAGCTGACGACTGTCTCCATTAATTTCTAATTCCATCTGACTGTCTCAAGCTTAATTAGGAATACTAGGTCTCATCTTTAATGAATTTTTAAGATGATTTATTAAAACAGAAAAATACTAACCTGTAAACGTTTATAAAACAGTACTTTTTAAAAAACTCAATTAAAAATCAAAAAGGGACATTTTACAAATTAAGTCTACATATTTGGTTTTCAAATCTTCCTGAAAATGAAAGTTTAGCTGTGACAATGGTTAAGCTTTAATGTTCAAACACATCAAAGTGGGTCCAGAAGAAAATAGCACTTTTACAAATTTGAAACAAAGATAGTTACAAAATAATGCCATCAATAAGTTATAAAATTTCAGAAATTAAAGAACAGCGAAGGTCGGATTTTCCTGCACACCTCCTGCCTCCCCACTTCTCTCAGCCCCGCCCCGTCCTCCTGCGGCGCATTTACGTGTGTTCGAAGGCATCCGCCTGAAGCAGCCCCAACACTACTGACGACACAGCTCTGCTCTGTCTCTAGCAGAGCAACCAACTCTCTCTTCCTCCTAATCATGAGATTTGTCTTTTATATTAGGGCTATCCATTTCTCCCTCTCTTTTGTGTTTTGAGCTATGCATGAACAAAATGGGATTGGAGTATGAGAAAAATATGGATGGAGTGGGAAGATATAAAAATGTTTATTGTTTCCACTAGCCAAAACTAGACTTATCTTCATGTATGTGCATACTGTGCATAAACAGTATACTTCCTGTGGGATAAGTCAGGGAAAAATTAATGCTATTCATGTCATAGAATTAAATTAGGATATGAAGCAACTAGGTAAACAAAAAGACTTTACCTGCATGTTTAGTTGGATCATAAGAGACAACGCTCAAAAGGTACTGAAACCCTTTTCTCATTAGGGACAGCATTATATCTGCATAACTAAAAAAAGAAAAACGACAAACAAACCACAAAAAAGTATGTGTTAGATTTCTCTACAAAGGCAAAGCCTGGAGGGGATGAAAGGCGGGGAGGGAAAGCAGCCTTTACTTTCATCTACATTACTGAGTGTATTTCTTCTTACATCCCTGTGGAGCTGATTCTCACTCTGAAAGTCAGAAGTGGGTTCGACAAATTGTATCACTTACCTAAACTAGGAAATAATAAAGATGGGAGTCAAAATGAGCCAATCAGACCAGAAGACGTCACAGAAAGACAGGCAGAAGCTCCTTCCCCCAGTATGCTCAGAGGCCTTCCACTCTGAAAACATTCTCCCCAAAGGGCCACCGCACTTCCCCATGCTCTGGGGCTGTGACATCTCTTCCCAGGCTGGTATCACAATCACCTGGGCACCTGCTCAAAGAAAAGGCTTGAACTCCATTCCCACAGACTGATTCAGTAGGTTTACGGGGGGCATGGGATGCTGCAGTGTAACAAATATCGTGGGTGAGTAGGACCTCGCCAGAGGCATATGTAAGGGGTACAGAACAGTTCCCCCTATTTAGCTGGGGAGAGATAAGACTAACAGGTAAAAATTCAAGGTAGTATGAAATTTAAGTTCTGCAAGTATGGCATAGACTGAGTGTCACTGGAACCATTCTTGGTAGGAAGTAGGTGGCTTGGGGAGCAGGTGACATTACTTCCAAGCCATGTCTGATTGGTTCAGAGTGGGGACCTGACCCAGACAGGGCCCAACAGTAGACTGACCAGGAGCCAGGACTGGGCCCAGTTTAGGACACTGAGTCAGACCACTCAGATTACCCTACTGGGAAACTGAGTTAAGAGACCCAAAGAGTCCCTAGTTAGCTGTGGTCACTGCCCTGAAAGCTGGAGCTGTTGTGCTGCGTGGTGGGTGGAGCTGAGGAAGCTGAGGGGTCAGGGTGGGAGGACAGAGGACACTCATGCCAGGTGGGAGAGAGGCCGTGAGAGACCGAGAGAGATGGACAGACTGCCCGGCTCTGAGAAAGGGGCTGTGGTGCTTGGCACAGCACGGGCATGGTCTGCCCTTATAGCGAGCTTTGTGGCTTCTGGTGGGCTACCCACTGCCTTGGGGATTTTAACCATGCAAACCAAAGCGCTCGGAGGGACTAACCTCAGAACAGGTGAGCATCCTCAGGGAGTATGAGACACCTACAGTTAGACATTGAGCAGAACTGAGTTTAGTATACAAACATGGTGTTTTATGGATACAAAGGGGTCTCAGGTGACTCTCTGAGCGGATAAAGAACACTGACATCACACAGGAACTGCCAATCAGACCCTGCAAAGGTGATGTGCATGGTCAGGACAAAAACAGAGTAGGAAATATAAAAATGATAAGAGCAAATACCATGTACAATTTGTACAGTTATTTCCCTACTACCTAGTGAAGGATATATTTAGAGCATAGTAGGAACTTAATATGTATTTGTTGAACAACTGAAAGAAAGCAGCGAACTAAAGTGTCATTAAAGGAGCAAGTATAGAAGAGAAAAGCAAAAGGCTAGGAGGGTCCCTTTGGGAATGATGCCTTAGGCATGGGAGGAAGGTAAGGATTCCAGAAAAGAAACAAAGGAGGAGTGATGGGAGAAAGAGGAGGGAAGACAGGAGCATGGACTGTCACCAAAGAAAAATACATATTAAGAGGATGTGCCATGGTCTAATTTTAAAAGATTAGATTTGGCAATAAACCTTACTTATGAAAAACTATTAAAAAAAATAAAAATTTAATTTCTCTAATGTGAATTCTAACATTTTTTGCCATGTGTTAAGAGTCTGTCTCCATACAACTAAATAATTCAATATTTATGTGCCAAATCCAAGTAAGTGTGTGAATGATATTTGAATTGGAAAGTATGTAGGTGTGGTCACACTTTGTGCAGTATGTTTTCTCTTCTCATAATTTTATTTCCTAATAAGGCTGGGTATGATAAGCACAGTCACCAAAAATATCATTACAAAAGCTCTAATTTAATAGCAGCTCACTTTTATACAGTGATTTGGAGTTGACAAGATCTTTCCCACACATATCATCCCTTTGGATTCCCATCACAACCCTGTAAGGTAGAGTAATGCAAGCATCATGACCTTGGACTTTGAAGCCAAACCCCCTTGTCTGAATCTTTCTGTCATGTATTAACTGCCTACCTTTGGACAAGTAACTTAATCTCTTTGACTTTAGTTTTCTCACCTGTATGATAGGATAATGAGAACATACATCTCACAGGTTTGTTTTGTGGATGAAATGGGCTGATCCACATAAAGTATTCCAAACAATGCCTGACACATGGCAAATGGCTAACAAGTGTCACCTGGTAATATTAGTGGCCTGAGTGATGGCGGTATTAGAAGAAATATTACCATTTTTAGAACAGTACACTAAGACTTAGAGAAGGTTAGTACTTGGATCAAGGCAACACAGCTTTGAAGTGATGGTGTCACAAGCTTTGTATGCAGGTTCCCATGGCCAAATGCCATACTTTTTAGAAAATGATGGTATTGGAGTTAGGTCTTCGAATTCCAAATACAAAAAGCTACTTCCAACCAGTAAAATTCTAGCTAATATTCTAGAATCCAGAATAAGCACAGTACACTAAATTAAGAAGGAAAGAAAGAAAGAGAGAGAGCCAACATAAAGAAACCAAATTACTAACCATTTACGATCACCTGGGTTAATAGCGACTAATGCTCCTCTATCCCAAATCCTGTCAAATTTGCCAATATTTGCTCTATCAGAAAGAAAAAGAAAAATACATTTTATGTAAGAAAAATCAAATTTTTGAAAAGATTTTATTTATTTAGTTTTAGAGAGGGGGGAAGGGAGGGAGAAAGAGAGGGTGAGGAACATCAATGTAAGAGAGAAACATTGACTGGCTCCCTCTCATGTGTGCCCCGACTGGGGACAAAGCCTGCAACTCAGGCATGTGCCCTGATGGGGAATCAAACCAGTGGCCTTTTGCTTGCGGTTCGATGCCCAACCAACTGGGCCACACTAGTCAGGGCAGAACAATAAAATTTTTAAAGACACACAGTGTTCCCCATGGTGCATGCTGGTACTTCAACAGGTGTAATAGACCCAGGTATGAAGGTGACACCTGTCTTGCTCTTGCTTCCTTTTCCTTACTGGTTTAGGATCATAATAATACTTTCCAAAGTTTGTAAATTATCAAGAGCAAAGCTATGGAAGTAGAACCGTGTTCAATGACTGCTGGCCTCACTAACTTTTTGTCAGATATGTAGCCTGTAGTAAAAATAACTGCAGAACAGGCTCAAATCAATGCTTCGTGGATGCTGTTACAAGTTTATGGGAGGGAGGAAAGACACTGCCTGCTATCCCCAACACTGTCAGCAAGCACTCAAGGTTTTACAAGTGCACAGGCAGTATTCAGTCCTACCTGGGAAGATCAAAAAGGTTGCAACAGTACAATGAGATGTTCCCTGAAGAACTCTGTAATGAAAAAAATAAAGAAAGAAAAATTCTCCTTAATTAGGAGGTACATGAGTAGTCAAGGAAAGAGGGTCAAAGCAAAGATAATGAAGAAAGAATGCATAATTAAATATAAAGGGTATAATTTTACTGCAAATAATTTTTTTACTGAAAAATATTTACATTGCACTGTATTTTTTAAACCTGTTCTTTTTCATCACCTCAAAGAGCAAAATAATAAAAAGTTAACCTCATTAACTTATTAAAATTTTTAATTTATTTAACTTACTAATTCCTGATTTAGACTCTGCTAAAGATACATACAAAGGTCAATCAATATCAGGCCGACTGACAGAGAAAGGTCAGATGTGTTAAAAGTTATTCATGAAAAGTGCAGTTGGGTTCACATCCCCTTTTCTCTTTCTTTCATTCATCTAATGAGCATTTATTTACTGAGCACCTCGTGGACAGGACTACCCTGGTTCTAGATACTGGATGTGAATTTGACATGGTCTCTGACCACAGTGGGGACAGCCTGGTAGAGCAGAGAGGCATGGGTACAAAGAAGCATTACACTACAGAATGGCCTGTACTGTTCTGATTGTATACACAAGAACTATGGGAACAGAGGACAAAACAGGGAGCTGCCTGAGGAAAGGCTGAACAAGAGGTAGCCCTTGAAAGAGTGTTGATGCATCTGCTAACTTACAGGGGTTGGAATAGGGGTGCAGTCCAGCGGGGAGTACCATGATATGGATTCCATCATGTCCTGGGATGTGAGAAGTCTGAGATAGGGGTGCTTAGTAAATTATGTAATGTCTAATCACTAGGGTTTACACCTGAAAGTAATATAATAATGTATGTCAACTATGATTGAAAAATAAAAAATATTTAAAAATGAAAAAGATTCATAGGTGATTCACTAGGGCTGAGAACCGCTGCTGCAAGAGGAGTCTAGAAGCAGGAGTTAGCCCCTTTGGGCTGAAATAAAGTAAAATAAAATAAAGTAAAATATAGTAAAATAAAGTACTATCGAGCCTCATGATGACTTGAGCAATTAATTTCAATATTTATAAAAGAGAGTACTTTGCGAAAGACTGAATATACAAACAATGGCCAGACCATGTAAGACAAAAGAACTTGGACCCATAACATCTGAAGCAATCAGCCTGGAAAGTCAAACCACAGCCTCTGTGGTCAATGCACGCTGGCCTCCCTAAGTTTACTTCTCCTACTCAAGGCCAACCAGACAGAGTCAACCCCATCACATAGTATGCTCTCCTCTAGTTAGCCCCACTTTGGCTTCCCCAGGCCAACAGCTTCCAATCAGGGCATAACTGAATTCAGCCCTTGTGTTTTTCATTATAAAGCTTTCCCACTTCTCCTGCCTGTCTTTGAGCTTCTGCCAAATACAAGTGGCCGACCCCCTCTGAATAAACAGCCTCTGCTTATTCACGTGTGGATGGTCTTTATTATCTCTACACTATTACCCCAAGCTGTGAGGCAGTTCCGCTGGATCATTCTGGTCATAGGATAACAACTCCCAAATCTATTATTTCCAGCCCAAGTGCTCCCCTATGCCTCGGAGACATAAAACCATTTACAAGCTACACCACTGCCATTCTGTAGGTCTCTTAAACTCATCTCCAGAAAAAATTAATTTTCTCTGCTTATTTTCAACTTGCTTTACTCTCTGCCATCCAGCTGAAGCTGGAGAGGTGAACTCATTCCCACCTTGATCTCTCAGTTGATCACTCAATCCTCCCAGTTTGGCATTCTAAATATTACTTTAACCTTCCTGTGTTCCTCTAAGCACCCCTATCACTCTCCTAGTTCTCAAGATCTCTCCCTAGACCACTGCTCACAGCCTCCCACCTGGTCTCTGTACTAGGAGGTTCCTTTCCTTAAAATTTACTGCCCTGAGGCCACAAGGGTCTTTTGGCTCAAAAGAAAATCTGGCAGTTATCATGTTCCCACTTGAAACCTTGCTGCACGGGTTGAAGTACCAGCTTCCCAGGGCATGTGAGAGCACGAACCCGACTCCCTGCCTGCCCCAGCCCTACCAGTCACCATGCTTCAGAAAGCTCTCACAGACTGGGTTAAGGAGTTTTCCTCTTTGTTCCCTTAATACCCCGTGCCATTACACTTAACTCCATGTATGACAAACAGCTTTCTCTGCATTTCTCTTTTCTCTCATAAGCTAAAGGATTCTTTAGGGCAGGGAGCGTGTTGTTTCTTTAATGTCTCATGCAAGGTGTGGTGAAAAACAGGTTTTCAGAAATGCTGATTTATGAATTTAAAAAATTACACAAACCCAAACCAAAATCATAAGTACAGATAGGCTTTGACCTCAGCTTCTATACACAGAAGAAATGCCTGCTTGAGTGTGGTTGGTAGTGTAATGATATGGGTGTAGTAATTTATAGTTTTAATTTGAACATTTCACCTAAAATGTCATATGATGTGCTTGAGTGTGATATTATGTTACAGAATTATATGTTTATGGTTTTGTAATAAAAAAGGTGTGTTATTTGTGTCAGACCCTGTATATTTCCATACTGAGCTATCTTAAGCCCTAGAACTCCTTACACCATTTAATGTCTAGGTAAATCTTATATACACTTGCATAGTATCCTCACCCATGCTAAGAAAAACTTTTTGTGGGGGTATGGAAACAATTATTTACCAGAAACATAACAAACCTTGAATACTTTGGCTCCAGGAATTGCCATGATTGGCTCTTCTGTGTAAGAAAGATTCTGCTCTGTAAAAAATTCCCGTATCCCAATTTCACTGATTTCCACTCCAACTACGCTGTGTCCTCGATCTGCAAACCTGCATAAATCATACATTTATACTTAAATTTTTATTTCAAATACAGCACTAAATAAAAGGATATGCCCCAATAAGCATACATTTTCCTTAACTTTAAGGGATTTATATGGATTCAGGTTTACTGGGTTTCATAGAACATGTAGATCCACAGAAAGTGAATCTCTATAGTCTCAAACCTTATATTATATGGAATTCTGAAAAATTGATTTACAGGACTTTAGGAAAAAAAATTTTAAATTTTGGAGAATTATGCCTTAAAATGTTGATTCATTACAAATGGATTTGACTAGAGGAGTTTCTAATTTAAAAGCATCCTATGGATTAGAGAAATGCTTTTCAAGTTCTCTAAATCAGCTCTGTCCATTATAGCCTCCAGCAATGATGTAAGTGTCTATACCTACGCTGTTCAAACCAGCAGCTGCTAACCACATGGGCTGTTGGACACCTGAGATGTGGCTAGTGTGATTTAGTTTAAATTTAAATAGCCACATGTGGCTAGTCGCTATGGTACTAGAGCATATGGCTCTAGAACACTAGCATCAATTTTTATAAAAATCTTATAATTTTCATTTACTTACAGTACACATTATCCAGAAATTTATTTAATTACAATCTGCAAATAACTAGTATTTTCCTGGCAAGCTTTATAATTACAGAATTCACACACTTGGATTCTTGGACTTCAGAGAAAACAATACTAATGGCACAAAATACCTAGGCACAGTATTGATTTTATGTAAAACTAAATAAACACGTAAAGTCAGTGCTGCTATAATGCAACATATGCCTACCTAAAAATCACTGCACTATGCAAAATCATGCAATCAACAAGGTTCTTGGAGAAGATAAGGGTTGGGGCACAACATTAAAAACTTTGTCATAATGGAACATTATTCAGCCATAAAAGAACAAAATGTTGCCATTTGTGACAACCTGGATGAACCTGGAGGGCATTAGGCTAATTGAAATAAGTCAGAAGAGAAAGACAAACACCTTATAAACTCATGTATATGTGGAATCTAAAAGAAAAAAAAATAAAAGCCAAACAAATAAACTGAAAAATACAGAGACCAGACTGATGGTTGCCAGAGGCTGGGATTGGGGGGTGGGCAAAATAGGTGAAGAGGGTCAAAAAGGACAAACTTGCAATTATAAAATAAAAAAAGTCATGGGGATGAAATGTGCGGCATGGGAACTATAGGTAATAAACTGTGTTGCATACAAGGTGGGGCTAAAGTAGGTTTACAGTTTGTATGGAAGATAATACAATTAATAATAATAAAAAATAAATTGTGTTTCACATACTCACAACTGTAAACCTACTTTTGCCCACCCTGTATTTGAAAATTACCAAGTTAAAGAGTTCTCATTACAAGAAAAATATTTTTAAAACTATGTATTATGATGAATGCTAACAAGACTTATTGTGATCATTTTGCAATATCTACAAATATCAAATCATTGTTATACCTGAAACTAACAAAATATGTCAATTATACCTTAATTGAGTTCCAGTGGGCTTTTATTGAGATACCAAAAAAAATCATGATTTTATTAACTATCTTTTCTGAACTTTATAAACTCACCAGAGAATCTGGTCCATATGTGCACATACAACGTAACACATCCCAACAAAACAAAGCTCCATTGGAACATTTACCAATTAGCAGAAAGCCTATTTTCCCTTTTCCCAAACGTTTTCAAAGTTTTGAGTTCCCACTGTTCACTTCTCAGTGGAACTAGTCCCTTGTGGCTAGGGACAATGAAATTCTACCCCATTTTTATTGAACAAAATTTTTTTTTCAAGTTTTAGTTTTACTTCAAAAAAGGTGACAGTGACTTTGTTTTCTCCAGGCACCCTTCCTCCACAACAATTTGTTAAAATACAGTGGTCTGTATCTTAATAAGTCAACCCTACCCCGTCCTCTGCCCAGTATTGTACATTCCCTGCTGGAATCTCTCAGCTGGGAAGGGCAAGAGTCCAGGTGCCAGGCTAGCTCCTTCTGACCTCATGAACTGTTATAACCTTTGGACCCTTAACTCTTTTCCCCAAAGGTGAGTTTTAAGATCTGGAGAGTGGATTTTTTGGGGGCGTTTTATTTTTATAAAAGATTTTATTTATTTTTAGAGAGTGGAAGAGAGGAAGAGAAGGAGAAAAACATTGATGAAACATCAATGTGAGAAACATCACGTCAGTGTGAGACAGAAACATCAGCTGGTTGCCTCTCGCAGGCACCCTGACTGGGAGACTGAATCCCAAAACCCAGGCCTATGCTCTGACCAGGAATCAAACCGGTGACCTTATACTTTGTGGGATGATGCCTAAATGAGCCACACCAATCACGGTTTCTTTGGGTGTTTTAAAAAACTATCTTTAAGGATATAGAGTAGAACTACAAGCTCACCAAAGTCCACTTAAATTCACCAAAAAATTGACTGACTTCAGCTCCCAGTAGGCCAATAATTTTGTTTGACAAAGACACTTTGCCAAAAAATGATTCAACAATAACAATTTTTAAGACACACAGAACACTGAAAAAGTAGCAAATTAAAATAACATGGCTAAATTTTAGGAATTTATTTCCTCTTTTGTTATTCATCTACAAGGTCAGGAGTATGGCTAAAGGCAGTTTCTGATGATGTTAGGAGCTTTCCAAGTGTTTCTAAATCCTTAGTGCAGACACCCTCCCTTTGGGGGCACAGTCATCTCCATCCCATCCCTATTTTTAGAAAGAAAAAACAATAAAATGAAACAAAGTGATCAGAGTGCGATGTTTTGATTCCAACAATTTACACTCAAGGCTTTGTGCTGAGTTGCCTGGTTCTAACCCAAGCATGATGGCATCACAAAGCACATAGCAAAGGAAGGATACTCCCATCCCGTTCTGAAAACAAATATTGATAACCAGTTGCCTCCCCCTCCTCCCCTCACAATTATACATTAAAAATAATGTTTTAAAGAAAGCTGTTACACACTTGCCATAACTTACCTCTGTGAATCAAGATTTTCTCAATAATATACAATGAAATGAAATTTAGAAATAAATGGGGTAAATAAAAATTACATAAAAAAAAGTCAGTGCCGCATTAAAAGGAAAAGACACGAACCTAAAAGAAATGGTGTTAGAGCTCTGTACATGTTAAATGGTTATATAATATGTAAATACTACAACATGGCACTTTACCTTGAGAAAGACCAGATGTTTAGTTGTAGAACTCTGCATTGGAAGGGCTGCAGCTTTCAAGTTTTTGTGGAGTGAGGAACAGATTATTGGGAATCAAATTTAAAGTTCTAACTCTGGCTGTGGATGGGAGTGACTCACAGTGCACAGGGTGAGCTGAGGCATCTGGGAGGGGTTTGAGGTGTGTGCCTGTGTTTGTTTTGTCTGTTCATACACAGCTTATTCCCACTGGGCAATGTTTCTTGCAACCTCATGTTTCTTGCAGACTAAGCAAATTAAAAATTCACATCATGCTCAAATTGTTCCCTAACATGTCAATAAACTTAGAATGAAATAAGCATTTTTAAATCAAGAGGTAGAGCGGAAGTGATTATACCTAATACCCATACGAGTGTGGTCAGAGCATGAACTGTTTATAGTTCTAAAATATACATATTAATAACTTGTCTTTCATATTTCCTAGGAAGTTTGTAAGTTAATATACAGGGACTTTCTTTTTATTCTTCATACATTTTTTAGAGTTACAAAATATAAACAAAAGAGTCTAAACCAGATACATGAATTTTTATTTCCATTAAACATATGGAAAAATAAAACAGCCTGCTAAAGAGTGGTATAAGCTGGATAATATTGGAATATATTGCCCTTAAAAAATAAACCTAAGGAAATGTCTTAAACATTTCATTTTAATGCTGTTGGGCCTCAGCTTATAATTTATTTACATCTGACATCTATAAAGACCTCAATATACAAATTAGTTACATAAATGAAAATTTCTCTAGTACAAATAACATATGCAATTATACATAATAGTTTAATTTTGGTATTTTTTTTATTATAAATGACTTTCAACCCAAAATATTTAACAATGACATTTAATTGGTTGTTTTATTATACCATTTCCTAATCTTGTCTCAGAACCTCTGCCAGAGTTAGACTGTTATTATCACATGACATGGCATAACACAATCTATTTATAGAATTAATATTTTTCCTACAGGTAGTTTCCAAAGTAATCAATCCTTTCTTCTGGTCCAGTCAATTGGTTAGGATAAAGTCTAATAATATAGTTTAAATCTTCTCAATTTCATGGCCATACTAAAACTATAGCAAGCATTTCACAAATGTTCTCAGCTACAAGTACTTTTCATCAAGACAAGAAAGTGGACTTCTGGTCAAGATGGAGGCATAGGAAGACATGCTTTGCCTCCTCCCATGACCACTGAGAGAATTACAACTATATCTCAAAACAAATAACAACTAAAACTGTCCTAAAATTGAGCTGTATTGAAGTCCAACAACCGGGGTTTTAAAGAAGCCACATTCATCCAGACGGGTAGGAGGAGTGGAGTGGCAGAGATGGGCGGAGAGGTGCAGAGACCTGGTTTGGCATGGAGAAGTGGCGGTGGTGGAATGGGAGGTCCCGCACTCACATGTGGTGGATAAAAACTGGGAGGGCTACCTTGCGAGCCAGCGAACCCAGCCCCAGACCAGACTGCACAGCCCAGGGTTCCTGCACTGAGAAGATAAATCCTCATAACTTCTGGATGTAAAACCCAGTGGGGATTGAGGCAGTGGAAGAAACTGCCAGATTTTCAGAAGAGTTCATTTAAAGGGCCCACATGGACTTAAAACACATGCAAACCCACCCACTCTGAGATTCACCACCAGGGCAACAGCTAGAAGGGAGCCCGTTGCATACAGAAAGTGGGTGAAGTGACTGGAAATGGGGTGCGTGCCAGGCAAACCTCCAGAAGCCAGGCAGTGGCACTGTTCCCCCTCCAAACCTTCCCCCAACACAGAGCCACGAAGCAGTGAAGTGGGTTGCCCCACCATGGCGATTACCTAAGGCTCCGCCCCACACAATTTATAGGTGCTTCTCTAAGACAGGGAGTCAAAGCAGCTCTGCCTAATACGCAAAAGCGAATATAGGGAGGCTGCCAAGTTAAGAAGGCAAAGATATATGGCCCAAATGAAAGAACAGAATACAACCCCAGAAGAGAACTAAACAAAATGGAGATAACCAACCTACAGATGGAGAGTTCAAAACACTGTTGATTAGGATGCTGAAAGAACTCACGGAGAATGGCAAAAACGTAAGGGAAGATATGAAGGTTACACTAAATGAAATAAAGAAAAATCCACAGGGAACCAACAGTGGAGAGAATGAAGGAAGCAATCAAATCAATGATTTGGAACATAAGGAAGGAAAAAGCGTTCAGCCAGAATAGCAGAAAGAAAAAAGAATTTAAAAAATTAGGAGAGGCTTTGGAACCCATGGGACAACTTTGAACATACCAACGTCCAAATTATAGATAGGGGTGCCAAAAAGAGAAGAGGAAGAGCAAGAAATTGAAAACTTATTTGAAAAAATAATGAAAGAAAACTTCCTTGATTTGGTGAAGGAAATAGACATATAAATCCAGCAAGCACAGAGAATCCCAAACAAGATGGACACAAAGAGGACCACACCAAGACACATTTTCACTAAAATGCCAAAGGTTAAAGATAAAGAGAGGATCTTAAAAGCATTAAGAGAAAAGTAGAGTTACCTCCAAGGGGGTTCCCATAAGACTGTCAGCTGATTTCTCAAAAGTAACTTTGCAGGCAAGAAGGGACTGGCAAGAAGTATTCAAAGTGATGAAAAGCAAGGACTACAACCTAGATTACTCTATCCAGCAAAGCTATCATTTAGAATGGAAAAGCAGATACAGTGCCTCCCAGACAAGGTAAAGCAAAACGAGTTCATCATGATCAAGCCATTATTACATGAAATGCTAAAGGGAATTCTATATGAAAAGGAAGATCAAAACTATGAACATTAAAAGGGCAACAAATTCACAACTATCAACAACTGAAATTAAAAAACAAACAAACTAAGCAAACAAGCAGAACAGAAATAGAATCATAGATATGGAGATCATTTGGAGGGTTATCAGCAGGGAGGGAGAAGAGGGGAATGGTGGGAAAGGTACAGGGATTAAGAAGCATAATTGATAGGTACAAAATAGACAGGGGTATGCAAGAATAGTACAGGAAATGGACAAGCTAAAGAATTTATATGCATGACCCATGGACCTGAACTAAGCGGGGGGAATGCTGAAGGGAATGGGGGTACTGGGCAGAGGGGGGCCAGAGGGGAAAAATTGGGACAACTGTAATAGCATAATCAATAAAATATATTAAAAAAGAAAGACAAAAAAAGGACAAGAAAATGTATTAATGCTTATCTGTTCATACCATTTCATCTCAACTGCTTTTCCACAAAGCGGGAAAAATACTCTCAGTCCACTCTTGCCTTTAAGGAAATTATCCAAATGCTTCTTTAATAGCCTGGGGACAAAAAAAAATGTTTTTTGTTTTAATTTAGCCAGTGCACAGAGGAAAGGACTACAATTGTATAATGCTAAGTACTTTTCATGCATTATCTCACTTACTATTCCCAACAACTTTACAAAGTAGATAACATTATTATACTCTCCACTTGACAAAGGAAGAAACAGAATGGTTAAGTAACTTGCTCAGTAACGTAGCTAGTGAATGGTTAATCTGACTCAAATCTAGGTCTTTCCTGATCGGTGATTAAAAACAAATTTTCCTTGGTTGATATGTTTTAAAAATTCTTCGTTAATCTCCCAAGTGTATACGTGTGTGTATGTGTGTATGTGAGATGTGGGGGAGCCTCTGGATAGGCTGAGTTTTCCCACATTCATTTTATGGTCAGCTCTCTAAATGTGTACTCAGGTCTTAGAAAGAGTTCTGAAAAGTTGTGGTTATTCTTGTAGTTAATTCCTCTGTAGGGATGTGGCTCTTCTAAGGCCATCCACATAACAGAGATAACCCATACAATGATTCTGGGATGACCATGCCCCAACTACCACTTGGTGTGCAAATGCAATAATAATAATAATAATAATAGTAATAATAATAATAATGTACCCTGGGAAGGCAGGGTGGCTGCCTGGAACAAGGAACATCTGACCTGATCACTTTGCTCAGCACTGGCCCACAATTTATTATTGCTGCTTCAAAGCCTACTACTGCTGTTAAGAGGTGGCTCAGTATCTTGGCTCATTTGCTAATTTCTTTCATCTTCCCTTCTTTCACCATATAGATAACACTTTCACATTTTAACGTTTAACAACAACATTTACTATTTGAAAACAAAGTCAGAAAAACACCACTTTTCAGTGTAAATATATATAAGCATTAATGTCACTTGAGCACCTGCTCGTATGTATAAATACATGTGGCCAATATATAGATGCTACAGGGCATTTCCCATTTCATAAATCTAAAATGCCTTCAATTGGAAGTCATACAATTATTCACACTCCATGAAAAGAGAGAACATGCCACAGATGCAATCTGATTTCAGAAATGCTAAAATGTGAAAAACTACAAATGTCCATCTTAAAATCTTTCAAATAATGTGTACCTATACTATTATTTCTATCTCTGAAGTCAGTTTCTGATAGAGCATTTCTCTCTTATATACCAAATATTTCTTACTGGTGTCCTTGTTCTTGATGAAATGCAATTTTGCGGTCCACCCACTTTTTTTGCCATTCTTCCAGAGTTAGTACTCGGTTTTTCTGTGCCTCAGCACCGGGGTACTCTTTAATATCAAGTGAAGTTCCTGTATCACCCATTGCTTCGTAAATATCTTTGCCTCAAGCAGATGTCTCCAGTACCTAAATGGAAAATACTTGCAAAGTTGACATTTAAAGGCACTGCAATTCCACTGGGGATGAAATAAAAACCATTATCCTCAGCAGTATGTCTTTTAAAAAATATTTCAACATCCCAGGAAAGTCATACAAAAATTACTTTTCAGAGTTTGATGGTAGGGGCATCCCCATATTACACATTAGGAAACATCTTTAAATAAATTGAAATATATCTCAACATCAGAATAAAAGAATTTGATTTAAATTTTTTTAAAAAGGAGAACAAACAAGAATTTCACATTTTAAAACTTGCATAAACTTAGAATTTTTTCCTAGCATCTCAGTTACTCTTTAATTTTAAAATTTTCTTTCAATGTTTACTTCTTATTTTTTTAACCACTGTTACAATGCACACAATTTAAAGACATCAACAGTTATAAAAATAACAATTCCCATTTCCATGACAGAGGCAATCACCTTTAACGTTTTTAGCTCAGTCTTGAAATCTGTTATCTCAAAATAACAAGCTTATTTTTGTATCTTCTTGATTTTTCATTTCTAGGTAACTTCTAGAGAAGATAAGCATTTAGCTATTTTTCAGCATCCCAACACCCACACACAAACACACACACACACACACCCTTTTCATTTTTCCTACCCTTTCTATAGAGACAGAGCAGATTTTTGATTAAATATGTGGAGTGCACATTGTTGTGACTTGGTAAATACTATTCACAAGTCACATAGCGTTCTATGGTTAATTTTCCTTTGCTGTACAACTTTTTCATTCTGAAGTTAATAGCTGTCTTTTTTTTTATTTATAAATTTTTCTATATAGTAATTTGGATTATACTAATATGTTATCATTGGTGGTTCTAATTTAATGATTAATCCATGAGAATAGAAAACAGTGCATAAAAAACAGGTATTTCAGGAAAAGTTGCCTTTATAGCAAAATTTGGCTTTGGTGTGCTTAGGATTTAAGGATTTGGAAATAAAAATTCATACTACTTAAAACAAAGGGGAAGCATAATTTTATCATAGAGGCAGGGCAACCTGGATCGTACATTTCTCTCTTTCTCACACAAACTTGGAATTAACACCACAAATATAACTTAATCACTTCTTTGGTGTTCTAACAACTTAACTTGTCCATAACCTTTTCTGGAGAAATAAAAGTTTCGTCCTAAACCAAGATAACAGTGCAAATTATAAGAATCAGGAAAGGCAAGTTTCACTAGCATTCCTACTCATACACAGAATAGAAGATGTGCTAGTTTGGTCGCTGAAGTCCTCCGTGGGTGAACACTCCACCTTTCCTTTAAAAAACAAACAAACAAACAAAACATATTCTGCTTTATATTTATTTTTACATTTTGCTAAATTTAAGAATAACTTCTCTAAAGTGTACACATTTTAAGAGTATGGCTCAGTGAATTTCTACAGACATACACCTGTGTAACCACCATGGAGCAAGACAGTATTTAAAGCATCCCAGTTCCCCTCCCGCCCCCACACCACCCCTAGTGCACTATTCTGTCAACTACTACTCTTAACAATCACTAATACACATCAGTGTTTTGGTTTCACTTAATCATGGACTCACAGAAAGGTCATTCACTGTCGACCTGGTGATTATTCCCAGATGCCACTCTGCTCCCTGAACTCCATTTCAGGGCAAGTATTACTCGGCTGTCCACCCTTGTTATGCTGCCTGATTCCGGAATCCTATCACTGGCTCACACCTAGCAAACCATTCCATTTCTCACCCGCGCCGTCTCTGCACCCGGGAGAACGTTCCTGTCGCGCAGTCGGCTGTCTTGCTGTCTTGCGGCCTAGCTCCGAATAACACGCGGATAAGTCTAGGACCACTTCTCCCAACCTCCTCCCGCGCCCCGCCCCCGCGGTCCACCCCCGACACCGACGGCCAGACCCCGCCCCTCCCCAGGTGCCCCGCCTTAGTCCTCGCCCCTCACCAGCCCCCTCCTTAGACGCCCCGCCTCAGTTCCTGCCCCTGGCACCACCCCCGTACCGGCGTCCAGACCCCGCCCCCTCCTCAGGCGCTAGGGCTCGTGCAGCGGCGGAAATGGCCAAGGCGGGGCGAGCGCTGCGGCGAAGGCGAAGGCGGGGACCCTACTCCTCCCTGCTCCCACTGACTCCTCCCACTCCGGGTCACGCCGTCACAGGGGCGGAAGCGGCGGCGGCGGCGGCGGCGGCGGCGGCGGCTAAGAGAGGGCTGCGGTTCGCGGCGCGGATCCTGCAGTCCTGTGCGCGCGGCGCGCGGCTCGGGAGAGGCGCCCGTGGCCGGGGGCGGCGCGCACCGTCCCTCACGCGCTCTGAGGTGAGGCGCACGCGGCTCCGGGGGCTACTGTAGGGGCTGCGGCGGATTTCGGGTGACAGCTCCGCACAAAGCAGCTTGGTAGAGGTGCAAGCCCTCCTTCTCCCCTTCTGCAGCGCCCCTCGCCCGGCTGGGAGGTGGACGAATGCATCAGGGACTGATACCTCTCTCTCCGGCTTGGAAGCGGGCTACTGGGTGGGATCCCTGTCCAAGGAAGAGAAATTCCCGGACCGGGGTGTTGCGGCGACGGGGTTCCCCGATTCGTCGAGGTGTTGCGGGTCTCTCCTAACCCCCTACAATATTCCTTTCTGTATAGCGCTGCCTTCTCCCCGCGACTGCTTGCACCTTTACAGCGCTCAGGTGAGCCCCGGAGGCTGTTGCTTCTCCGACTTCGGAGAAGAGACAGGAAAGCTTTTCGGAAAGCGAAGCGGCTGCAGCTGGCACTGGGAACGTTAGGGCTCCCTCCTGGGGACTGTTAATAGCCCTGTCACCTGGGGAATGTGTGCTTCGCGGGGGAAAACCCACAGTCCGGAGTAGGAACTCCTTCGCTTGTTCTCAGCGGAGAGTGTGGCTGTGAAGAGCCCGTACAGCCTTGCAGGTGTCGTAGTAATGCTTTGAGGCACGATCGGCATTGCCAGGTTGCTGGGGTAACTCCTCGGGGACTGGGAACCCGGAGCGGGCGGCCGCATTACGGTAGCTGTTAGTCAACAACAGCCTGGCAGCTGGCAGGTGAAACAGGAAGGAAGAGGAAGGCCCAGCTGTAGAAAGTTGGGGTTCGGTGATACGGAACCTAGCCAGATAGGGGCCCAGCCTTCTCTTCGGTGAGCGCGCAGGAGTCCACAGACCAGCCCTTTTGGCAAAATCCATCACTTCATATTCACGCACAACCCCAGGTTTTTGAGTTTTGTCTGTTTGCTTGTTTTTAATCTATTTTAGTGGAAGAAAAGCGAGTGGGAGAGAAGGTTTCTTAAGGAGGTGCATGAGAAAATGACCATCAATAATTAATAGTCTTCCAGGCAGGGAAAGTAATCAACAAAGCATTCAGGCAGTTGAACTAGGTCCATATTTTGGAAAATTTTATTAGTGTGGGTGCAGTAAGGTGCTAGTTCTTCCTTATTTTAAGTGGCCCAAAGGGAAATTCCTGTTTCTGCTGTTTGAAGAAACTTCTAGTAGTTTGTCTTATAAATGTTGATGTGACTATAAATTTTTATTCCAACGTGGAGTCATTTTGTGTCATATATTTATGAAAACTATGTTAAAAAAATCTTTTTGAATAAGCTACTTAAGAAAATTCTGGGAATTATTAAAATAGAAATCTAGGCACTGATAGATCCACTTATATGTTTACCCACCCCAAACCAACTTTTCTTTCATTACATTAAAAGAAAACCAAAGCTATGAATTTAAAATTAGGGAGATATGCTTATAAAATTATATTGAATGGGAAACAAATTGATTATATTTAAAATAAGGTGTGTTTCTTCATTTGAAGAACTAGATAGGAAAACATTTCAGTATATTTGTTTTAATGACACTTTTGATCAGTATTTCTGAGATTATATTTAAAAGCACAAAAACTGTAGTCCTTTAACTGAAAAATTTTTTTCTTTTATTTTAAGCCCCAAGAACGCAGAAACAGTGGAAATACAGAAATTACAGCAAGTGTCAAAAAGGATGAGCGTGCATAACTGTTAATCATATGATTAGAAGTAAAAATGTACTGCCCTAAAAATCCTCAATCATATTTTTCCCAGACAACACAGATTTAATAATGGCTGTTATAGATAATATATACAGTTTCTCTTAACCACTTCTTGATTTACATCATTTTTCATTGCAGTACAATACATATTTTCTAGTATACCATTGGACTGAAATGTTTGATGAGATTTCTGGAAATTATGCCCTTTTTTTGAGAATGCTTGCATTCCAAGAGTCAAATGTTACATGAACCTAGGCTGATTATATTTATGTTCCTAAACCCCACATAAGACTCAAATATTTTTGCTGCAATACTGATATATACTATACATTTACAGGTATCTATAAATGCCTTATTTGTGGTTCATTTTGTGAATAATGTGGGATATATGTTTTATATAAAAAAATTTGTTAGATTGGACAGTCTTTGGAAAATACAAATGTCATCCAGAAAGCCTTCTTTGTGTTCGACAATTATAAATAGGCAGTAGTACTTTTAACATTGTTAGTGTTTTACCCATCTGTATTTGGAGTGCTGTAGAACTAAACAAAAGTTATTTAATCCTTAAAGATCTATAGTGCATTTCAAAATATGTGTAGAGTTTATGTGTTCACAACCAACATAATGGTTTTGAGAAATTGAAGAGTCAAAGGAAAATCATCTATAACCTTGGTGTCAAGATTTCTCAAAAGCAGTGTAGCTAGAAAACTGAAAGTTTTCACACATGTTAATAATCGATTAAAAGTACTCTAAGGAGTGTTAGTAAAGCTCACAGATAGGAAACAATAGGATAACAAGCCCCTCCAAGCTTTTCTTCAAGATTAAGATAATGTACAGGCATACCTCGCTTTATTGCACTTCACAGGTGTTGCGATTTTTTTTGCCAATTGAAGTCAAGAGCACCACCAGAAAAAAATTACAAATTGCTTTATTGCCATACTCACTCCATTACAACGGTCTGTAATGTAACACACAATATCTCAAAGACATGCCTGTATGTGGAATTTGTATCTTATGATAACACTTTTCCACTTCAAATTCCCTATCTATAGGTATGTCCTATTTATTTTGCATGGTATTTTGTGTGAGCGTATGTAGTAAATACAGTGGATTGAAGAGGGGAATGTGTGATAATTGGGGAACCCATATATTATTGAGTACTTCTGCTAAGCATTTTTTATTCCTTATCTAACTTAATTGAAAAAAATACTAATTTGATAACTCAGTTTTTCCTGTTTACTATGCATTATTTTTCTCGTCAACTTCTGGTTCTTAATGTTTTTGTATAACCATGCTATTATTAGAGTAGTTTGAGAACTTACAACATTTTTCTAGTAGAAGATATAGTAACTAACCTAGATTCCTGTGTTCAGTAGTGGCTAGATGGTGTGCCTGAAGTTCATTTGTTGGATTTCACTGAGAGGGAGTTTTCTTTTTAAAGTATGATAAAAGATCAAAATTCAGGAACTGCTAAGAAGATACAGTAAGATGGAGAGAAACAGACAAAAACTGAGTATTTTTACTCATTGAATTTTTACAAACTGTGATTTGTTGATTGGTCACTTGTGTGGTAGTTTACATTTTTAAGTGTACATACTACTAATGGATAACATTTATTGCGTACTTAAAATATGCCAGGCCTGGTGCTTCAAATAGGATTTTTTTACTTAATGCTCATGCTGATCCTATGATACAGTGGTACACTCTTGCTATGCTCCTTTTATATATGAGAACACTGAGGTCTTAAAGATGTTAAGTAACTTGGCAACAATGGCTTTACACACCGGCAGCCTAACTGCAGAGAATATATTTTACCTAATTCTGCATTATAACTTCGCTCCAGAATGTTGAAAGTATTAGCAAATGCTAATATTTAATGGTTTAATTATTTATTTTTATTTTTTTGCAGATTATCTGATACAATGGCAACCCCACGGGGGAGAACAAAGAAAAAAGCATCTTTTGATCATTCTCCAGATAGCCTTCCTTTAAGGAGTTCCGGTAGGCAGGTATTACTCTTTTGTTCATTCTCTGCACCTGTTTCGAGCACACAGAATTATTCTGATTGGGACTGAAGAATTAGAAATTAAAAAATATCATTCTGGTCCTCAAGGAACTTATAGTCTAGTAGAGAAATTAACCCCGGAACAATTATAGTACAGGGTGATAAAGAGAGAGAATGTAGACAAAAGCATACTGGCAGAGGGAATTGCAAATATAAAGACATAGGGTATGAATCAACATGGGGTGTTCAGAGAATTGCAGCTGTGTGGTTGCCTCCAGGATGTGAGCTGGGGCCAGATCATGCTTGGCTTGCTGTCATTCATAGAAATTTGATGTTAGCTTGTGGCCGGCTAAATGCTGGTGATGGGTTACTTGCTGCCATCTCTTTTGTAGCGTTCCGCTCCCCCCCGACCCCCCACCAAGAAACATCTTGAATGATATAATTCTTTTTCTAGAATTTTTCTAAGTTTTTAAAAATACGCAATACTGAGAGGATGTAACTGCTCTAAGAAAAAAATATCCTAATTTGAGAGTGACTTTTATTTTGATTGATGCAGCTTTTTCCCAAGAAAGGCTTGCATGCATTTTAGTTCTCTTTAAAGTGCTGGTATTTGCACAGTACAGTTTCAAGTAAATTGCTGTATTATCAGCCCCTAACCTACTGCTGGGGTGTTGTTGATCTTCACGTTTAGAACTTTTTCTAACATGGAAGTCATTTTTGTAGTAAACCTTCCACATTTACCCTTGGCCATTCTGGTGAAATTTTAACCTGAGTTGGTTCTCCCTCAGGCAAAGAAAAAAGCAACGGAGATGACAGATGAGGACGAAGATGGTG